GATCGCGTGTGGACTGATCATCCTGAAATTCAGATCAATCGTCCATGATTCACCCCGAATGTTACTAGACAGCACGAACACGTTAATTACCGATCCCCTGTAAAACCAAATTTTGCCATAAATAACTTGGGCTCATAAAAAGAAGCCAGGATGCTAATCTGGGCCATTAGATCGGCATGCAGAATGCTTATCTTGGTTTCGGGAGATAGGGTGGGGGGTTGGTATACAGCACCCTAAAATGCCTTTGGGGGGAACAGGGAGGCGTTGCGCAAAGACACCTGGCGTCAGGACGCCAATTGTATTATATTATCGCAAGCAGTATCACTCGGACAAAAGGGGGAATTGGAGTACATATTGCCTGGGGGGGAAGGGGTAAGCCTAGCCAGCTTACCCCCTGCCCGTACGCAATGCTAAATTTGCTATAAAGGAAGGGGGAGATCCCAATACTGACCGGAGCTCAGCCGTGGGATAGAGCGCGCATCACCCGGCACTTTCTCGGGACTCATGTGTTGGTCTCCTGCCGGGACTGAAAAGGACTCCCCAATCCATGTGTGAAGGTGGGTGATGATGGCACGTCCGAGTGTAAATAGTTTTGCAGCTGCTTATACATTTAATTGATTAATGGGGATTAATCATAAGGAGGTGTACTTGAACCTCTACAGAGAAAGGAACCTAATAATCAGGTCAGTGAGGGAAAATTTGCAGGTGATGAGTAAGATTATTACTACAATTAATTTATTAACCAGCAATAATATAAATTATTAGTGACAATGTGACTTAGGGTGAAAAACCATAAAAAGTGTCTTACATGTCTAAAGTTGTCCTTGTCTTCCAGCAGTAACACAAACTACAGTTGTACACCAAAGCAGGAATTTATGTTATTCAAATTGTTTATACTTTCACCCAAACAGAGTCTACACACCAAGTGAATATGAATGTACCATCTGCTGCTATATTACTGAGCATTATTGATTTTTTTTTAGCTAGCCACAGAAATAATACTAGTAATGCCCCTCTTTTCAGCATGGAGATTTCAAACATACCCAGTCCTTCTTGCTATGAGATGGTCCCCCAGCTGATGGAGAACTTCCCCTTCACAGAGCAGTTGAACCACAGTTTAACTGTTCAGGCTGTCACAGCTGAATGAAAAACCATGCTAGCTGTTGCAACAGATGACATGATATGGCAGATTAAGGCCCAACCCCAATACCCCAACTTAGCCCTACCCCTCCGTTTTGCGCGTACCCGCGCACGGGTAGTGTTGTCCCATTTCTTTTTAGCAGCGAGGGGTAGTGGTGTTCAGCCCTCGAAACGGAGATTTTTCAGATGCTGACTCAAAACAGAGTGAAAGAAGAAAATTCCCACAATGCATTGTTATACACAAGAAAAGAATATTATAAATGTAATACATCTTTATAAATACGCTTGCAAAAAAATCTAATTTTTAGCAGAATATCATAGTTTAATGTAAGTGAAACGGAGTATTAGGTTGAATTTTTCAAAAACAATTTTCTGAAAATCGCTAATTCCGTGCGTAGAGACAGAGCAGTATCACTGTAGTACTTATAGAAAAAGAACCGAGCAGCGGTGAGTTTCACAAAACCGTCGAAGAATTAAGAACGTATTTATTCAGAGAGAGAGAGCATTCAAAGTCCTTTTTATGTAGTTTTTTGGCTACGACACTTTTGGGTAACTCACTCCCGATTGTTGATACACATTACTTGAAAGTCCTCTTTCATTAAAGCTACCTAAATGGTATCAGAGCAAACAAATGATTTTACCTTTAAAATGTTCCATGTGTTCATGCATACTGGGCAATAAAACAAATAATCCGCACACATATAGCACATGTACTTTTAAAAAATTTATATTGTACCGCGATGCACTATATTTAAGCATGCGGCGTTTGGATAGCATTTGCTAGATGGTACATAAAATAATGTTTATTCTAATTTGTATGTTAATCGCTGTGTACATGCACAGAAAGTCACATTTATAAATGGAAATAGTATGCCAAATACATTAAGCAATGAAAATTAGGTACATTATATTATGAACATTGTGACACAGGTAAAACGACAGGTAAAACTTTAGCCAGGCACTCTAGCTGACACAAACGAGTCGTCTTTAAACGATATCTCATAAAAATCCACAAGCGTTAGCAGGCGTCGCAGACGTCTTCTGCGAGTATTCATCAAACGGAATATGATGATTAAAATGCACGCAGTCGACAATGCCATACCTTGAGCTGGCATTGTTACAAACAAATGCAAAGTCGCAGGTGTGAAACGTGTGCAATGATCGACTGCTGATGACGTAAGCGAGTGGTGTCCCGATCCCTAGGTAAAGATTTCAAGCCCTACCCCTTGTGGCTACGATCTGTGAAGTCAACTTCGGAAGGGAGGGCCCTCGAAATCTAGTGGTAGGGCTAAGGGAGGAGAAATGGAATTGGGCCTAAAGCTCCAAAGTGGCTCTTATTCCCATAGTCCTCTAAGTGCTACCCTGTTCACTTTACCAAGAGAGAGTTTCTTTATTTCTTTTTATAATAATAATTGATACTTTATTGATCCCCGTGGGGAAATTGTTTTTACGCCTCCCTCAACTTGCTCTTTGTAGAGTAAGTTGTCCGCGAAGGGCAGCCACCCGTAGCAGCGCCCAGGGAGCTGGGGGTTAATTGTCTTGCTCAAGGACCCACAGACGTGCCGAGGCTGGGTTTGAACCTGCGACCTTGTGATTACAGGCACACAGGCTTAGCCCACTGAGCCACACGCTGCCCTAACACTGCAATACCGGGTCGATGCGTGGAGCGGACGGGGCAAGCCCCATGATTGTCTTCAGTAAAGATCTGCCTATACTTTTCCCTCTAATGTCATTTGTACTGAAACTTGGTGTAAAACAGTATCAAAATGTTTCTTACATGTTTTCTAAGAATGATCAAATAATCGACACAGTGTTTCATGAAAGCAGCCAGAAATATCCTGATTGTGGCACCACTAAGGCTGATGGACAGCTTTGAACTTAAATGTACTGCAGTTGAATAGCTTATAGAAATCGGATCCGAGAAACATACAGTAAGTTTGTAAAGGACAAAGTCCAAACCTGAAGTCATGTTACATTTGGTAGTTTATTATATACATAACAAGACAGAACAACATAATCAGTGAAATCTTCTCACTTAGACACCACCTCATCCAGTTTGGGCTCTGTGGGAGGGAGAAGCACACTGACTATATTAACAGATGCAGTGGGCATATTCTCCTGTTGCCTTTATTTGATGGTTGAATACAAAAAGATTCTAGTATATATAAAAAAAAATCCTACTCACCAGGAAACTTGAAGTCTGGAAATTTGGTGAGGTCACCACCCCCATATAAGCGCTGGAGTTTGGTCATCTCCTCAGACAGGTTCTTTTGATATGCTGGACCGGCATCAACCACACCTCCTGTGGTCCTGATAGGTGCCGATCAATTAGAGGAAGAAAGTACATTAGAGGAAGATGTATATTAAAATCTAGGTGGCTGCATTGAACAATCAGCAGTTTTCCACAGTGCAGGGTGTGGAATTTCATCTGCTCATACAACACTTAGAAAATCATTACAATCACTAAATTTAAAGGTACTTTGCGGAGATCTCACTACCTGCATTATAAGATATTGCTGCTACACGCATTCACAGGATCTTAAGTAGTAATGTCACTGACATTAGTTTCACAACCGGTTAGTTGGCTATCAGTTAAAGGTCCAATAAATGTTTATTGTCAGTCCATCAGTAAACATCTATACATCCAGGATGAAATATAGTCTCTCCGAGACCCATGGTGCTAAATTAACACATTCACTTAAGCAATAACACAAGGAGGAGTGTGGTTGTACTCCAACACATCACAACTGTGATTCAGTTGTAGGCACAAGACCGCAAGCCAAATGCCAAAGATAATTACAGCCATGATATAGAGGAATACAACCACACTCCTGCTTGCATGTTACTGCTTAAATCTATTACAACACTAACATATACACACTGAGACAATATACTTCAAGTTGGTATTGGTAATATTAGGCAAAAATATATCTGTGCACCACTCCCATATGGAAGAAAAAAATATTTGACATATACCTATAATATATTTCACATATATTTAAATATTAAAAATTAGCCACTTTATATATATTTACATACACAGCAATCCATGTGTGTCCATATAATGCTCCTCAGCTTACGATGGGGTTCCGATGAACCCATTGTAAGTAGAAAATATTGAAAGCCAAATATGAATATATGATATGAAAAATAAATAACTAAACGCGGGATATGGTGGGTGGCAAGGGGTGGCTGTGGCCACCCTAGACTGAAACCTGGGCATCCCATTGGCCGTCCCGTCATATGTGCATCTTTGTTAAGTCAGACTTTGATTAAAAAAAAACTCATTTTACTACGCAACTGTTTCTCTGTATCCATGATGATATAAAGAATGAACTCATAGTGCTGCTGAGCTAAATGTGCTCTCAGAACAGTAGTAATGCATAAATTGTACTTGGTGTAAGCTTGTTACCTTAACCTGCAAGGAATTGATATATTAAATATGTATTAGATAATTCCACCACTGCCTGAATTATTAACAATGTAGAGTAATAGCATTTAAGTACTGTAAACATTCCCTTATTTTCTAGATGCCTTATACTCATATTTAGATTTACAGTTGCACTCAAAATTATTTAACCTCCATTAGCTAGATTAGGTTTATTTGCAAAATTTACAACTTTCAGCTGTTTTCAATAAATAAATCAAACAAGAACAATTTTAATCAAAGGCCTTATTAGTTGCATCATATGTGCTTGAGATAGAACACATCAAATACCTGGACTGGCTAAGAAGGGGGATTCTGTTCTGTGAAGTGATGAAACTAAACTGGAACTTTTCAGGCCTATGAATCAGCGAAATATCTGGAGAAGGTAGAATGAAGCATATGCTGAAAAGAACACCCTGCCTACAGTGAAGCATGGCAGTGGCTCGTGATACTCTGGGGCTGCTTTGCTTTTTCTGCCACTGGAAACCTGCAGCGTTTGGAAGGCAGGATGGATTCAATAAAGTATTAGGAAACACTAGGAGAAAACATCATGCCATCTGTGAGGAAGTTGAAGCTTGGGTGTCACTCAACCTTCCAGTAGGACAATGATCCCTAGAATACCTCAAAATCTACCAAGGCTTGATTTCAGAAAAAATCCTGGAGGATACTAGAGTGGCCGTCACAGTCACCTGACTTGAACCCCATGGAAAAATCTCTGGAGGAATTCCATAGAACCCAAGCTGGAGGCCATTGCCCATGAGGAATGGGCTAAGATTCCTCGGGAACACCACCAGAACCTGGTGTCTGACTATGCATCACATTTGCAGAAGGTCATAACAGCAAAATGGTGCTCTACTAAATAGTAAAAAATTATTCCACATGAAGGGGTGGAATAATTTTGAGACTGCAGTAGTCATTAAAAGTGGCTTTGTGTGATGAATGTGGAGAAACAACATTAGTTGTATTGAGCTATTAAAATTGTTCTTGTTTGATGTGTTTATTGCAAACAGCTAAAAGTTTGTAAATTTTGCCAATAAACCTAATTTGTAATGGGGGTTGAAAAATTCTGAGTGCAACTGTATATGCCACCCCCAAAAAACCTCTGGTCCCACCCTGGCCATCCCACTAAAATTTTTCTAACTCTGCCACTGTGTATAAGA